AAAAAAAATGAGGACGGGAGGAAGGGAGCATGTCGGAAGGTAAAATGGAGCTGGTCTATCTTGCTCTTAATATTGGGCTCGCGTGCTTCACTCGCCGTTTCTCTTTCTCTTATTTCCCTCTTCCTCTCGTAGTCTTCCTCCTCTTCATCGTCGCCCCCCCCCCCCCCCGCCTTTCTCTCTCTCTCTCTCTCTCTCTCTCTCTCTCTCTCTCTCTCTCTCTCTCTCTCTCTCTCTCTCTCTCTCTCTCTCTCTCTCTCTCTCTCTCTCTCTCTTTCTCTCTCTTTCTCTCTCTTTCTTTCTTTCTCTCTCTTTCTTTCTTTCTCTCTCTTTCTTTCTTTCTCTCTCTTTCTTTCTTTCTCTCTCTTTCTTTCTTTCTCTCTCTTTCTTTCTCTCTCTCTCTTTCTCTCTCTCTCTTTCTCTCTCTCTCTTTCTCTCTCTCTCTCTCTCTCTCTCTCTCTCTCTCTCTCTCTCTCTCTCTCTCTCTCTCTCTCTCTCTCTCTCTCTCTCTCTCTCTCTCTCTCTCTCTCTCTCTCTCCCCCTCTCTCCCTCTCTCTCCTTTCTCCGTCCTTTTTCTGGCTTTCTTCCTACCTCTCTCTTTCTCCATTTCTTTCTTCCTTCCTCTTTCGTTTTCTATTCCTCTCTCTACTTGACAGATAGGGATTTACATTTTCATTGATCATAATTTTTTCTAGATACAGAATTCCTATACAAAGGTGCATAAAATGTTTGTGTGCCTTTTTCGCAATACAATCATGAGGGTCGCTGAAACTGTCCCGAGTCATATGCCGTGGTATTTGGTGGGATAAATATCTTCAAAATCATTCCGTACCTCTGTGGACTTCTATGATATAACCTTACAGACTCAACAGTAGCAAGGAAAAGCCTGCGTATCTTTATTTGTTAGTATAATTCAGGCAAATAAGAAAAGTAAATATCCGTGATCGTTGAAAGTTGCAGAGTAGGTAGGGACTTTTTCCATTTTATTTGAAACCAACAAAATGGTTTGCATATGAAGTAGTTTTTTATGTAAAATTAAGAAAAAATACTTTAAAAAAATACTATGTATATATATGCTACAAAAAAGGCCTATATACATACACAAACACATACGTAGGTACATGCATGCATACAGATATACAGATATATAAGTATATAGATAGATAGATAGATAGATAGATAGATAGCGAGAGAGAGCGAAGAAGGACGCAAGACTCGAAATACATCCTCCTCCATAGGAAGGTGTTTGAGATGCTGACTAAACTTCCTGTTTATACAGCTTGTTTACATAGAGCATTTATTCACGCATAATATGAAAGCGGCTCGTCCAAGGAACAGCTGAGGGGAGTTGAGGGAATAACGCTCTTTTGGCTCAACTGCGGGGGAAGAGAGAGGGGAGAGAGAGACGGATATTAAGGAGAGAGCAGAGGAGGCGAGAGAGGAGAGGCATAGGGTAATAGGTAGGAGAGATTGTTCGAGGGAAAGGCAGGATGAGGGTAAGAGAAAGGGAGAAGAAGAGAAGAGGAAGGTAAAAGAAAAGGATAAGTGTAGAGGAAGAGGATAAGAGATATGGAGAGAGGGAGGCAGTGAGGAAGGAGGGAGAGGGATACTTGTGGATAAGCGAGATACAGATCCAAATTTAGGTAAAGACTAAGGACGAGGCAGCTGCGGGTTTTCCGGCGGGGCTGAAGGCGGAGTGGCGAGCGGCGACGGCACAGAGCGAAGAGCAAGGACCAGGGCGTCGCAGCCGAACACGCTCGTGAGAGTGAGGGCGTCGCGAGAGGTTGGAGGCGAGGGCGTGGGCGAGGGCGAGGGCTGTCTCGAGGGAGCCATAGACGGAACGGAGAAGAAGGTGCCAGAACTGGTGTGGCGATCGTTCTATGTGTGAATGAGAGAGAGAGAGGTAGAGGGGGAAAGAGAGAGGTAGAAGGGGAAAGAGAGAGATAGAGGGGGAGAGCGAGAGGTAGAGGCAGAGCGAAAGCGAGAGCGAAAGCGAAAGCGAGAGCGAGAGCAAGAGCAAGAGCAAGAGCAAGAGCAAGAGCAAGAGCAAGAGCAAGAGCAAGAGCAAGAGCAAGAGCAAGAGCAAGAGCAAGAGCAAGAGCAAGAGCAAGAGCAAGAGAGAGAGAGAGAGAGAGAGAGAGAGAGAGAGAGAGAGAGAGAGAGAGAGAGAGAGAGAGAGAGAGAGAGAGAGAGAGAGAGAGAGAGAGAGAGAGAGAGAGCGAGAGAGCATGCGCGAGTGTGTTCTTGCTAATGTGTGCAGTCTTTCGTCCGTACTCCAGCAATTAGCGCTGTGTTGGAAAGGCAAATTATGTATGGCGTGAAGTGTCGAAGAGAGAGTGAACGTCCTTCCCCAAGGGCAGGAGGACAAAGCTACAATTCCCCTTTCCTATTCCCTTTTCCCCTCTCCTCTTCCCCATCCCCTCTCCTCCTCCTCCTCCTCCTCCTCCTCCTCCTCCTCCTCCTCCTCCTCCTCCTCCTCCTCCTCCTCCTCCTCCTCCTCCTC